CAATCCACTTGCTGCAGGGTTTCTATATATAAGTATCGCCCATCAACAGCGATTATTAGTCGCGATTGGACGAGGCTGCATGATGCAATGGGCTCTGCCCATCAGTGTGATGGTCCAGATTGTCATCCTCATCCTCCAGAAATCCCTCCAAGCCTTCGTTATCCGCATCCCCGGGCTTGCGCCGGGTGTGCTCGTCCAAGGTATCGTCCGCCGAGATGGAAATGCCGCGAGCACCCCAGCGGTTGTTGCTAGGCCTATCACCACCGGCTCCCCTCTCCCCTTCCATTCCTTCTCCGGTAAGGTTCTGCTCCTCGTCCAGACTTTCTCGTCGTCGTCTGATATTGAACACCTTGTTAACTATCCAGCTTTTACTATAATCTTCGGAATCCACCACACCACCATTTCGAAGCTTGACGCGCTGGCGAGAATAGTAGACCCAAGCGAAATCGACGTAGAAAGCAGTTTGAATGATACCAAAGATCATCGAGATCGGATCCCAGTGTTTCTCGGAGCCGAACCCTCTCACGAACCAGTTCAGGATATAGAACGCGCGGTAAGAGCCCAAGGCGAGGAGATAGTATGAGTCAATCACCGTCGGAACGGTAGTCTGGCGGAGTAGCAGGAGCTGGGGAAGCACGCATACGGATTCTAGGATGATGGAGAAGGACCACATTATCTGCATCATACTTCTGATTAGCACTGGGGCAACAAGAGCTCATCTGTGAGTGCTAGACCCACCTCGGTGAACCAGTGACTTTTGAAGAGGTCTTTATCGTCGAAAATAGGAGTCACAATCGGCGCTAGGACAAGAGAAAGCACGACGGAGCCAAGAGCCATCTTCCATGCCCTCTCTCTCTCACGCGTCCGCGGGTAGACCTTCATCATCAAGAAAATGATATAGAAAGAAGAGAATATGTAGAAAAACTTGAAGAAAACGAGGTAGAAGCTCCTCCAACCGCTCCCTCGGAACAGATCAAGGTAGCGTGTGACAAACACGGCAGCATAAAGCATCTGTGTGAGTAGCGAGACACCTGCCATTCAGAATCGAAGAGTCAGTTGCATGTCCCTATCCCTAGGTTGAGGGGCGGAGTATCTGTACATACCTTCCGCACTTTTGTTTCGATGAATAGCCCACATCAAGATGCATTTCGACGATATGTGAGACAGATCGCCTAACAGGCGAAAGACGTTCATACTCATCTTGGTTTATTCTTCGAAGCTTTGAGGTAGCTCGACTTGTGCTCTGAAGGAAAGGCGGTGAAAGACAGTCTGGAGAGTCACAGTCTAAACTACCGTCGACACGGTTCAGCTGATTGAAGTAAATACTCAGATAATCTAGTTGTTGAAGCTTCGTTTGTGGTGAAGACGAATTTTGGATGAGGATGTGTTGCGACTCCTCACGGGAGGCCAAGGCCAGATAAGAAAGACTACCTAGTCACGGCAGTAGCTCAACGTGTTAGGCAGCGAGATAACGATTAGGAATTCTTCATCAGGTGGTGATGGTGAGGAAAGAAAGAAGGCTGTATACTCAAGAGAGACAATCACTTTTAAACAATCAAATCGTGATAGTGCATGGTGACACTGGTGAAACAAAAGCCGCGATCGAGGTACGTAACAGGTGATAGCAGTTGTGATCTGTTATCTCAGCTTCTCCTCACAGTGATCCACCGCCCATCTGACTTTACCCAATGTGGTCTTGGAACTCGGGGCCGCGTTGTTCATCACGTGAGCAGCTGGTGACGTCGAACCTTAGCTCTTGGGTTCCTGGTTCCTCCACATGTCCAGCACTTAGCAAACATAAGGTACCTCGAGAACCGGTATCAAACAGACAGAGAAGTACGCAATCAATCTAGCAGTGACAATGCCACGTGCACTTTTCATGAGAAAGATCATGTAGGTAGCTTTTAGATCGACCGAGTAACACTTTTCTAAACGAACAGTCTTCTTCCTCTGATGGATTAAGACTGTCTGGCGAGCAGCTTATGCTTTTTGCTGCCCATGTCCTGCTATATCTCCAATTTACTGGGTTTCCGAGATTCGCTGACTCGACAGCGCTACACGATTGTGCTGATAATGCGGGATTGTTACATCGTCCGATTGAAGGTTCTGCCAGCTTTATCAGCTTGGTGGGCTGAGGCTGGCTCATAATGCATGTTATACCTTCCGTCCTTGACTGGTGACATGCTGGGAAACGTCGGCGATATGTCTATGAAACATCGAATAAGCATAACCCTGATCCCTCTGTGGCAGGAAAACAGAACATACTCTGATGCTACTAACGTTTGCAAGTGGTACCCGCTCAGCGAATGCTTTTGACGCGCTTGCCGTATATCTGGGTGTCTTCATTCTGCGATAAGCACGGTTACCAAGCGCTCGATTGAAATTACAAGCGCTTGATTGAAAAGAATGCCGGTGCTTCGCAGTTCAGCTCGACATGCCTTTCTCTTGCATATCACAGTCATCGATGACGTCCCTTTGGGAGAATATACTTCTTGTATGGAGTCGCAATGGTTCGATTGTCGAAATGAAGAGAAAGATGGGTGCATGCCTTATGTAGATCTCGATAAATCGAGATTATGCTTATCTTGGTGATCAGTAGCTCAAACCGCGGTACTATCTTAACTTCTTTGTTCCTGAATTATTTGGGGTATCTCCTAGTTTATACTGGATAATTGGCACAAGTTCTACAGATCCTTTGTTATATTGGCAAGTAACTGGTGAGGATCTGTGTAATGTGGGAAGAATGACCATATCAGCTCTTGCCTTCTTCTGCAAAGGCGGTACTACCCCCATATCACTGATCAACTCACTGATGTACGCCATCTCGTAACCAATTCTGAGAGGCAGGCCGTTCTGTCGTCAAAGGATGGTATCGTCTGACTGGTCAGATTCTGTTCGATCGAGGCCCTCCAGCTTACCCCGCACTTGCCTGGAGCATTGACGCTCAGTGTACAGGGCTGGACTGTGATTAGGTACAGAAGAGGAGATCAATACATACAATTACATGGAAGTGAGTATCTTGGGATTTTGAAGTATTACTCTGTGCCACGCGGTCGCTTTGGGGGATGCTTCAGATGCATGAATTCAGGGTAGATAGTAGTGGATATACAAAGTTCTCCAGAGTTCCTGGCTTTCATGTAAGTTCTTTAAGGTCACCCGAGAGGAGATACTCAGTAAAGTACTTAGGTAGTGTACCCATCTACTTAACCTACCGTAAGTATCTGGGCCGTTAAACTGGTCCCTCACTCGTCCTTATTCTGCTATTCTTCCCATGAAAGTGTAGCCTCTCTTACTAGTAGTTTACTGGATCGCGACTTGCACAGGACAAATCCCGCCACCTCCTCTCGACTTTGTCTTGGCTTGTTCATTGCTTAGTATCTAAGTGGTGGTTATCCCAGGGATGATCAAGCTGGCCTTGTTGTTATGATTTGACCATGATTCTGCTATTATCACAAGTCAGTGCAATAGAGATGAGGTCATAGAGGTTATGGATGAAGGACCAGTATTTCTATACAAGTATCAGCTACCGAAACAAAGCACGAAGTAGTCAACCGTGCTTTGAACATGTTGGAGAAGCTACATACCCTACAATTACTAGGTGTGACTTGTCGTACGAAGCACAGTATCAAATCCTGCTTATCTTCTCACATGCTACAATAGTCTGTCCCATGTTCGAATCATCACAGAAGGAACAAAAATACTCTTCAACCGGATACAAGCAATCAAAAGTGATGATCTCTTTCAGCGTCTGATGTCCAGTGGCTAGCGCTGTCCGAGGACAGAGGGGAAAAAGCAAGCAAGTGGATTCGGAGAGAGCGGGAATGAATGATAAAGAATGAATGGAGGATGGATTCTCAATGCTCCCCTGGTCTTTTTCATCACAGTCTTTTCTTCACCCCTCCTCTGAATTGGAGCCAAGGATACCTATCATCTCGTACCTATAATCAATAAATAATAGTGGTTTGCGAGTAGCGTACTGATCATTAGATGTGTAAGTGTGACTGAATAATAATGCATCAAGTACAGAGTACCTCGAGTACCTTTCAGTTTCCAGATGTATGTAATGTAGCTAGTTGAGGTACTTTACCTACCTGGGTAGCTCAACGGTACTTTAGATTAGCACACGGCTACTGGATCTGGCGTTTAGTATTATAGAGAAGGATGGATTGCTGATTATTAGGTAGTTCCTTTTTCTTTTCCCTTTCCCTCCCGTCTCCCCTATTTGTTTATCGTCAGCCTACCTCTACCTTACTCCTCCCTACTGCTGCTTCTTCAACCTCCGGATGTAACTGTCTCTGCTACCTTACTGACGACTATTACCATTACCCACTCTTCAGCTCGGGTTAATACTTCTGATGTTTTTCCTCGTTTAATCTTCTTGAGGATAAAGATACCAATAAAATGAACTCTGACGATCAGTAAGCCTTCCCTCTGATCTCACACTCCCCTCCGTTCACTCTTGTATCTCCACCAGGTCCTGACAAAGAGTGTCTTATCATCATCGACTCCAGTCAACAACATCGAGTCAGTCCGTACTATTTTCAGCCAATGTATCCTAAGATGCTAGAGAACTACTCCTGTGACTGTGCCTAAACCTGTTTATACATCCCTCTCTCTCTCTCTCTCTCTCTCTCTCTCTCTCTTCCCTCACCTACCCTCCCGTCTGAACCCTCACTTTCCTACCCACTTCATCCCGGCCCTCTCGTTTTTGACTTATTCGCATACATACAGTACATGCATGCATGCATGTAACACCCTCCAGTCGCTCCTTTCTGCCCCTCGCTCGTTTTCTCTCCTTCCTTTTCTGCGGCGCTACTGCCACTCTGTGGGATGCGCCCGTGTCATCATCGCTTCTAGTGTAACAAAAAGAGCCCACTTCCCTAGACTTGACGGCCAATCCACACAAACTCCTGTCAGTAGCAGATGTGCTAATCTCTTAAGCATGTGTATTGACAGATGAATCGTCGCAGCGTGACTGGGACAGTGGCGTATCTTCCAACATGTCGTAAGTGAACCTTTTCTTGTCCTGCGCCGCAGCAGAAGACCCTCTTTCCCTTTCCGTGTACTCCAGATACATGGGATATACATGTGCATGTAACAAGCGCGTCTTTCTTGGGACGCTTTCCGCTCATGACGGGAAAGGAGCAAGCCTCACTTACTAACCTTGAGTCTCTCCTCATTCTCTTTTTGACTAGGTCACCTCCAACATCCAAGCGTATCAAGACATCTGTCTCCACCAGCGTACCACCACAACTCCTAACACAGCAACAAATCAACCCCTTCCAGAGAGTCCCTGCTTACGAGGCCATTCCTATACCCCCGGCTCAGGTGGCGCCTCAGAATTCCCGCAAACGCCGTTCTCCCCCCCAGTCAAGTGCCGCGGCAACCATGGCTGCACCACTCACTTCTGCTTCGGGAGATGCAACACAGAATCCCCAAGGTGCCCCGGAAGCGGCTCCAAAGAAGAAAGGGCGGACCAATACGCCCTGGACGGCGGAGGAAGAGCAGAGACTCAAGACGATGCGCGACGCGGGTCGCAGCTGGAGCGAGATTGCCAAGGTTCGTCCTGATGGTCTACCTCATATTGATAGTCTCGCTCCGCTGATTCTTCTCCTTTGGGGAACCTGCAGACTTTTCCCACCCGAACTGAGGGGAGTGTGAAAAAGCACTGGTACAAGGTTGGGAGCTTGTCCTCACTCCCGTGAGCCCGAACCTGATACTCACGTCCGTCACAGGATATGCATTACGCCGAGTTCGCGGAAGAAGAGGTACTACCTGATAGATTACTACTCTTGCATGATCTTTGCGCGTTAACACCATTCAGTCTGTTGCCCTACGGGAGGCAATAAAAGAATATGAGGCCAACAAGTGGAAGGTCATCGGACAGAAAGTTGGAAAGCCCGCCAAAGTGAGTCTTCTCTTCCTCCAACTTGTGTGATGTCCAACTGCTGAACCATTGTGTATAAAAAGGCATGCGAGCAATATGCGAAGGAGCATTTCAAGAATCTTTGATTGTGCTATGACATTCAACGACGTGATGATTTTTATGCAGGGTAATGATGCAACTATCTATATATCGAACTCGGAGCTTCTCGGTAGGCACACGGAGCGCATGACATAGTAACAAGGTCAGGAACGGCACAGGTTCATGGAGTTTGTCGCTTCTCATTTATCCGGTCTCTGTTATTTCGTCTCGTTGGGTTTCCTTTCGGCTTCTCTCCTCCACTGTCACTATATGCCCTTGACTTCACTTGTTCATTTTCCATCATATGCAATTCTCTGCCAAGTTGATGCGTGTGCTAGAAACAATGTGATTGCTTGAGACAGCCCGAGCCACATAGGCCTATCGAGCCATATCTGTTTTACCCACTTTGCCTGATCTTATCCTCATACTTCACTCGACCAAGACGATAAAGTATACCGTAAGGGTCTGGATGGCCCAAGCTCTCCGAGCGTTGATCATGGGGGCTCCGCGGCAATAGAGGTAGAGACGACAACTATCTGGCTCAATCATCTGATACTCTATCTGTTGTTTACCTTGTACTTTCAGATTGAGATCAATCGTCCCATTGAGAATCAGACCTCGAAAAAACCACTTTTGCCAAGGCCCGAAGGGCGGAGACCAGAAAAGACGTCTTGAGGTTGAAAAAAGTTTCCCGCGGCGGGAAATAAATTCTTGGAGAGAAACCCCCCCTCGAATCTCCTTTCGTTTTCTTTCTCTTCATCCTTGCGTCGATCGCACTTTGTCAGAGAGGGAAAAAGGTTTGCGCTCATTGGCATATTGATCCAATTGCCCACATACTTTTCAGTAGTAGTAGTTCACTCCTCTGACGCAGATCCTTATCAAGGTGTGGCGACAATCCTTCATCGGAGCAAAACTCGCTGACTCAAAGATTCTCCTTCCGTCTCACCAGGTTATCAAGTGTCGCACCGGATCAATCTCCATTGGGACCAGAAGCACCATTCCAGTACATCTCTCCTGTCTTCTTAAATCTGCAAGAGATAGCTATCAAGCCCATCATGAAGACGAGTAGCCTGGTTTTGTCTATCGATCAAGGTATCTAGATAATCTGCCTGCATGAAGACCGGTGTTCGACTTCAGTGTTACGTTTCACATATCCTCTGGTGGTCATTGTTGTCAGTCACATCATCAGATTGTTGCCTCCTGACCCTAATGATCCCTGGATACCCGTGGTCGTCGCTGTTGTCGTTCTGAGATTACACGGTTGAACTTGATCTGGATAATTCCAGCGAAAGGACTCATGCGCGCTTCTTTGAGCTTTTGGCCCTTTCAATGGTATTTGAATACTAACTCAAGTGTAGCAGCATGTCGTCTGAAATCGCAAATCCCTCGCTAGGGATCCACTCCGAAAAGGAGACTTCGGGCTTCCGTTCCGAGGAGCAACCGACTTCTTATTATGACAAAAATGGTGAGAACCATAGCGAGAGACCCAATGGCCGCTTTATGCCATCTCGCGTGGGCATGTACCTCAGGAGGTTCGAGCAACAACTCGTCGAGTATAACCTCGAGGCTCGCGGAATCGAACGAGTGCATGAGGGTGAACGCTTAAAAAAACTCTCCTGGGTTTCCTACACCCAGGCGTTCCTGCTCTGGGTCTCGATCAATCTGGCAGCGAACAACATAACTCTCGGAATGTTGGGCCCTGCTCTTTATGGGCTCAGCTTCCTTGATTCGGCGCTGTGTGCTGTTCTGGGTGCATTGCTTGGTTCTGTGGTGTCGTCGTGGATGGCTACTCGAGGACCTATCTCTGGAATCCGCACCATGGTATGTTCTCGTCTCTCCTAAGTGGCTTGAGTGATAAGCAGCTGCTTCTGACAATTATGCAGGCTTTTGGGCGTTATGCAATGGGATGGTGGCCTAGCAAGATCGTAGTGATTTTGAACTTGATCCAGATGCTCGGGTATTGCCTCATTGACTGCGTGGTTGGAGGCCAAATCTTGTCCGCTGTCTCACTGAATGGGAATTTGTCAGTTGCAGTTGGTGAGTAACTTGTCGCTTATTAATGCTTGTTCTTGGAATTAACAAGACAAAGGTATCGTGATTATCGCTCTTATAAGTTGGGTCGTTGCTACCTTTGGCATTGATGCCTTCCATTACTATGAACGGTATGTAAAGCTTGAAAAAGCCGTAGAGATGAAAACTGAACGTATCAAGCTACGCCTTCCTGCCTCAGTTGATCGTCGTCTGCGTCTTGTTCGGCGTCTCTGCCACGAAGTATGACCTGTCGACGCCATCGGTAGGAGATCCTCGCACAATCGTTGGGAACCGGTAAGTTTCTTAGAGTCCTTATTTATTTATGACGAAAGGTCTTCGAGTCTGACAACGTCAGGCTGTCGTTCTTTTCGATTTGCGTTAGTGCTGCCATCACCTATGCTCCCCTGGCGGCAGACTTTTTCGTCTACTACCCAGAAGGAACCTCCAAGTGGGCCATCTTCTCCCTGTCCTTGTCTGGCCTGATGGTCTCCTTCACTCTGGCCTTTCTCGCCGGTATTGGACTTGCCTCCGGTATACCTTCCCACCTAGAATACAACGTGGCGTACCAAAAGGGTGCAGGAGCCCTCATCGTCGAAGGCTTTGGCCCTTTGCACGGATTCGGCAAGTTCTGCTCCGTAGTCGTCGCCCTCGGCCTGATCGCCAACACCATTGCCCCGACATACTCTGCCGGCGTCGACTTCCAAATCCTCGGCCGATATGCGGAGAAGGTACCCCGCGTTATCTGGAACACCATCGGCGTGGTCATCTACATCGTCTGCGCGCTGGCAGGGCGCAGCCACCTGTCCGAGATCTTCACCAACTTCCTCGCGCTTATGGGATACTGGGTCGCGATCTGGATCGCCATCATCCTCGAAGAGCGGTTCATCTTCCGCTTGCGCAGCGGGTACAACTGGTACGCCTGGAATGATCCGTCCAAGTTGCCCGTGGGCATTGCCGCCTTCATTGCATTCCTGGTCGGTTGGGCCGGTGCAGTCCTCTGCATGGCGCAGTTCTGGTACATCGGACCTCTTGCCAAGTTGGTTGGGGAATATGGTGCGGATGTAAGTGCTACCTCTGTCCTTCGTGCCAGTAAACCCCTCCTGACTTCCTATAGATGGGCAACTACGTGGGATTCACATGGGCGGCCGTCGTCTACCCTCCCCTGCGGTACATTGAACTTCGCTGGCTCAAACGGTGAGTCTCTCAGTAACTGAGTACCCGAGCCACGACAAAAGGTTGTCGCGAACAAACAAATAGATATGTACGACTTCTAGAAGAAGAGGAAAGACCCAGGAGAAGGCTTCATCGTGGGAATAATACTGAAAAGTTCGTTGTTGAGTTTATAATGTTGTACAGCTATATACGCCTATTCCATGGCAATGATGCCATTGATGATTTTGGTTATCGATTCGTCCCATCACTTGAATCTGTATGTTGCTGACACCCAATTCACGTCGATCATGCCATTGACTGGCATTTGCAGTCATAGATGATAGACCTAGCCACACAGGAAGGCACGGGGTTTCGGGCTACTTTCGGTTCCCCGGCACTCCGTAGATCAGGCCATACTCCATACTCCGATGTCATGCCATCCAGTCATGATTGCATGTGTCACATCATTCTCAAATCTTGCGTAGACTTGACTATTTGACAAAGTCTGTCATGGAAGACAATTCTACAGTAAAGCAGTAGTGCTAGGAAGAAGAGAAATTCGCTACACAAAACAAACACCAATCGCACTCCGTTCAATCAACTTCGACTATATTCTACAAAAAAAAAGACAGGGAGGAGTCAACAGAGAAGATACAACCACCTTAGACGCGTAACAAATAAACGAGCAAAAAGGCCCGAAACGGGAATACTAGCTATTTTGACGTTTGCTGTTTATCGTCTGTTCTTTTCGCCTCAATCTTTTCCGTGGAGTAACGGGCACAGGACAATCGAACTATATTCGTAGCGTGCAGTATTTACCGGTACCAGTACTCAGGCTTGACGTAGTCGGCGAAAGTCTTGACCTCCTCTTGAGGGGGGTGGTGGCCGTGACCGTGGTCGTCTGCAGATATGTAAGGAGCCGAAAAAACGACAGAGAAAATAGAGGTCAAGCAGGAATATGAAACAAGTGAAGGGTAACTTACGAGCATGGAGGTCCTCCTCAGGTCCAACGTACTCCAGCTTGACGACATTACCGCACTCGCCGCAGCGCTCAATGGGACGATCACGAGATACCTATGGTGACAGAGAAGATGCGCATTAGCGATCTGCGGGATTGAGGGCACACAGAAGCCACGAAGCGTGCAATGCTTACCGTCAGCCAGACGACATGGTGGGAGTCTGCGGGATATCCGGTGCAACCGGCGTACTGCTCGTCACCAGCGCTCTTGACGATGATGGGGTTGTCAAGGGTTCCTAATCAGGCAAGCTTCGTTAGCCTGGATTCAAACGCGCGACACGCTGCTCCCACGACTCATTCAATGCAGGGAGTATCCGCATACCCTTTCTAGAAGCATCAAGGGGTCTCATGTCGAAGATGTCAATGCCCTGCATCTTTCCGATAAGTTCTAGACGCTCAAGACCGGTAGACTGGTCGACGTCGGTGGGGACGGTACCGGGCTTAGCACCCGGGGGAAGGAGGTCCTCTTCAGTTTTGATTTCTGCAAAGTGATAACAAAGTGTCAGCATAATGACTTTTTGTTCAACGGGTGTTCTAGCCGAGAGAAGTCGACGGGATCCGGTATGACGAAAATGCAAGACCGAGACCGAGAACGAGACCAGTGACGCCTTGCATATCACAAACAGGTAGCTCTCGACAGAAGTACAGAAATGATGATTGATTATTTCGGGATTCTCGTGATGTGCTTGACAGGGGCCCGACGGATCATCTTATCACCAACCTTCAAAAGGAAGAATCTTGCCCTCCTGCTTCACAACATACTTCTTATTATTGCCTAAAACACGAGAAAACCCAGAGTTAGCCAGAGTGCCATGCAAGATTATCGACAAAGTGATACGGATTGCCTTGTGCAGACTCAATTGGGCCGCGCAAGAAACGATGTTGTCATAGACAGAGGTGGTGCTGGCCATCTTTGGATTCACGTACAGCGGACGACGGAGGAGGAAAAAGGACGAGCAGCGATGGCTCTGACCGGGGCGCGCCTGGCGAGGGCGAAAGCTGTGCGTTGGAGGAACATTGTCCTGGACAATTGATGGTATCGACGGCTGGACGAGGGGAGGGAGGAGGTTTGGTGGAGAGGGAGTTTGGAGGTTTGAGGTGAGTTTGAAGCCGTTTCGGCCCGCTGTCGACTGGACCACCTGACTGAGAGCCGCCCAAACCACCCGAGTCGTGCGCTGCGTCTTACTCAGCAGCCCCGACTGATTGGCTGCGGAGCTTCTACGGCGTGCCACAAATGCCAGTATAGCATTCCTTCCCATTCCGGTAGTTTACTTAGGGCTTAGGGTTAAGATATCTGCGCCAGCGTCATGTCCTCATCAAGGCTCACATCGCAGCATTGTAGTGTCTGAGTTCCAAGACCGTTCCAATTCCTATAATACAGATATATACACAATATCGTATAAGCATTTTTCCACAGCCAGCCATTGCTTCTCTCCGTCCATCCGTCACCTAATGGGAAAAAAAGAGAGATCGAAGAAAGAAGTAGGAAATCCCACGCATCACTGGTCATTCCCATCCACGTGTATCCCATATGATATCCATCAAAACATTCGTCAAAGCTGAGACGCCTTTTCTCGACAAGCTGCTGGAGTAAAGCCATTGCCAACCTTCCCTGCGATTATTCGCCATCGATCATTCTCGTACTCTTGTATTGCACGCTGTAGTCGTTGAACCTAGACATGCATCAGTTAGTACGTCAACGGTTCCTGTGATATGTTGATCCGACCCTCTCATAAAGTAATGCTTACCATCTCATCCGTCCATGTCACATCCTTGGCCTTCAGCTTGGTACAGTAACGAACTTGCAGCGTGCCACTCGTTCGACCAGGAAAGAAATCGGCAATTTGCTTCCACGTCAGGTTCTTGTTCTCTTTCAACTCTACCAGTAAGGCGTCCTCTTCCTGCGTAAATTTAAGTTTCGGGCCTCGAGGCCTGGGAGCCGGATCAGGCATGCCTGGTTGGCCCACCACGCTTGGTGGACCAGAGGGAATAGGAGACGTTTCCACATTCATGCCATGCCGTTCTGCAGAGTGAAGCGATGCCTGCGGGGGTAGACGATGGTGGTGGTGTTGTTGGGGCAGCGCCATAGACTCTGGTGGTCCGAATCCATGGCTAGACATCGGTTGATGATGGTGGTGATGGTGGTGGTGTTGTTGTTGCTGCGGCTGTTGTTGCGGCTGTTGATGGTGTGCTTGTTGCTGTGAAGAATCGTCGTGGACAGAGAAGAGCATTCCTGTGGTTTGTGTCGTCTCCGTAGATGCCTGCGTGGAAAGCGCTGACAAGCGCGGCCGAACTCCATGGTCTCCGTGGTCACCCTCCCCTTCCGTCTCGGAATGGGGTCGCTTCTTGCCGCGTTGAACTGTTGGAATCTCGAAGGTGGCAGGGGTATACTGCATCGGAAGCTGTCTGGGGAGCATGTGAGCCGGTGTGAGAACAACGGACTGGGAAATGTCAGGATTTGCTGCTGGGAGAACGGTCGTGCTCGCATGGTGTTGCTCGTATGCTGTGTTGTGTGAGCTTCCCTGCGGAAACGGCGGGTTGGGCTCTTTATGACGCTGAATATGCGACTGCTGCGTTTGGTAGGCGAGTGCGTTCTCATGCCCCTCCTGTTTAGCATGTTGGGCGTAATCAAGAGCATAATCTCGGTACGGATCCGCCAGCGTCACAGACATACATCGGCTCTGCTAGGGCTCCAAAGCCCCGGCAGGCTATTCAATCTTTATCAAAAGCTTGGACACGAGATCTGTATGTATAGAGGATGATCGGTGACTGATTATTGCGACCATTAAAAGGGGGAACGCTTCGTTTATGTCGGAGATTGCGATGCGAAGCTTAGCTAATGCGAGGAGCTGCGACACGAGATGATTTCGCCATGCACAACGACAGGGAGACTCGAGTAAACCAGTCCTGCCCTTGGGTGGTCGCCAGCAATCCGGTACGCGTCGACTGTCCCACTGGTCAATATGATGAAGTATGTCTAGATGATGTTGAGCCGTGGGCGCGAGGTTCAAGAAGCGTGTGACACATCTCGAGTCGAGAATATCCAGGGGAAGAAACGGCCATTTAGGCCTTCTGTATCTGATGATGGTCCAGGCTATAGATAGATTGCTTGGGATGAACTTGGCAAATGGAAACAGTTTGCTCTTACCAGGGTACGTTGGCCTGTTGGGTCTCTGAAATGAAAGGTTTTAGGCTCGGTCGTCAACGAACTGGATGCGATGGGTCAGCTTTGCCGAATCGAGGCAACGGACAGCTCAGACGCAGAGCTCACGGGAGATTAGATTGTGAAAATGGAACTTTTGAGAACCCCCTTTGTCGTTACTCAAGGTGCAAGGGCATGGAGATAAAAGCAAGAGAAAAAGGAAAATACAAAGGCCAAGACAGGTTCAGAATAAATCACTCATAAGGCGCACACCCTGCTCGGTGATAGGCCGCTGCCTCTATATAACGGCCGACAATCACGGATGCGAGGACACGAAAAGAATTTCTGGAATGAAAAGGGTAATCGGATGGTCGAGGAGACACGGAGTTCATACACCCAGAATCAGAAAGATGCAGGTCGGCACAAGGGAAGAAAAACGCCCATTCGACGGATCTGCGTTTTCAGTCAAGCTTAGCTTGCAGATGGGACCTAAAGCATACAATGACGACTATACGGCAATTTAAAACTCTGAAGGGTTATTTGCTCCTTGCCAGGCTGTCCGATAACTGCCAAGGTATGGCAGGTTCTAGGAAGGTTAAGAGGGCAAGAAGCAGACCGACAGCAACAACTGAGCCTGAAACACTGAGCTAGACAAAGAGAGTAGCTTCTTTGTCACCATGCATGTCTACATGGATTAACAGGAGCGGAGACATTTAAGCCTGCTTATACACCGGGCTAGCAGAATCTAAGGCTCACCCATTAGGCTATTGGATACGAACGAGGATGAGCAGGACGCTGGACGTCGGGTTAAGGGATTCACTCTAGATACCGACATGCCGTGGACTAGTTAGGCTGAAATAGCCAACGCCCCTGGTCGAGCGTCGAGACAAGACAAGGTCGTACTTTGTGTGGCAGAAACTCCACTCGAATGACCGGCCAATAGCTGTGAATGGCGCTGAGCACATAGGAGCAACCGGCGAGACTTCCACGAGGTAAGAGGGGGTGACTGGTGAGAGAGGATCAGGACTACTAGCGGAAGGATGCTAGCTAGCTCATGGCTGGTGTTTGGTGGGCCGTCGCCCTGCCAGGGAGTTGCAGCCTAGCGTTCTGACTCGAGCATATGAGAACGATCCTAGTCTATAAATCCTGTAGGTCTCAAAAACGGTGTGGGACCTCGTGGTAATGTCACGAAATCAAGCTGCGAATGCCAGGCTCTAAATCTGTGACAGAGTAGTCAAGCAGTAGATACTAAATACTAGACAGTAGTATCTCACGCAGGCTAGTGTTTGTGACCTGAAAATGTACCCACCCAAAGTTCCCTTTTTTTTTATTTTCATAGACAGTCTCCCCTGATTTTCTTTGGATCGATTTCTTTTTTTTCACCCTTTCTTGCCAGAATTGTAGTCAAAAACTACCAAGGGGATACCCGAGTCCCCTTCTGCGTCAGTTCGAGGCCGTCAAAGGGCTGTCGAGCGAGCTTCTCCCGAGTTTATTCGGCTGTGTTTCTCTCAGAAATCAGAAAATACCACCTGGATAAGATGGGTAAGCCCTCCCCGACCAACGGTCGGATTTCGATTGCCTAGCTTCCGAGAAGGCTTGTGGTCCGTGTGCGTTCGTTGACTTATGAGTCGACTTGCGAGTTGACTCGTCGAGGGGAGGTTAACAGCCGTTCTCTTCAGCTTCATCAAAACCGGTCGGGATCGCCATCAGCGTGGTAGATTTGACAGGAAATCTGTATGCAAAGGTAAAAAGAAAGTAAGCAAGACCCGTTAGTTGATTAGAATCTGCCATAGCGTACATTATCCTTTTGCGATCGATAATTTCCACCCGCATCTCACTACTGTAACACTGTTGGGCTGCATGGATTCTGACTTTTGTTCTAAAGTCCTTGAGGCAATGGTGAAACAGATTTCTCGCTCTCGCAAAAGAAATCGCTGCTGCTGGTTGGCCCAGAAAAGGAAAATTGAGGTTGCTTGGCCTCCATGTCTTAGGTATAGTACAAAACTACCTGCCTTGAGGATGTGGCCTGCATCGGAGTCAACCGGAAGGAGTGGCGTTAAGTTTCTTCGAAAAGACCGAGCCAGAGTGGAAAAGCCGGAACTTCAGGCCTGGGAGATGGCCGAGTTGCTTCGTGGCTAGCTAGCCCTGCTAGGTAGAAAGATAGATGGACAGGAAGATGAGATGTGGTTGTTGATGTCGTCGTAGCGTGGGTCTGTTGGCGGGGATGATCTGAAGCCATGGTCAAACCATCCAACCATCTCCCAATTAAAGATGCTTCCAGCCCAGTCCAGTCCTCAAGTCTGCCTGCACTAAACTGCAACATCCGCTTCACCCATCCTTCTAAGCCCCGTTTTAATTTAAAACGATAGTCTCTATCCATCTATGGAGTACGTAGTAGTCTACTGCTTGCTTATCAATAATCAAGCAAACATCAAACTCGATGGAACGAATCAAGTCTCAAAGCAGATCGACTCTAGAATATTAATCAACCAACTGATCATTGTAATAACTACTGTACATAAGGTACATACAGGGCCCCAGTATTCATTTCAGGTTGTAGTCTGCATCACATAAAAATGATCGTTCCTCGCTTTTTCGGCCACGGCTCAGATTATGGTCGCCCTAATAAAACAAATCAATGGAAAAAAGGACTTCGGTCATGCTTTCAGAGTAAAAACTATATGGAACATTGCAAGAGGGAGAAACGCCTCGAGATCAGGGACAATAAGACAAGATAGAGAGAGAAAAAAAAAGTGAATTCCAACACCAGTACTTGCTTTAAGCGAAATTATCGGAACGATCAACCCAAATGTCCTCGAGTTCAGCGAAGTTCTGGAAGTGCAAAAGACGATGTTGATCGTCATAGAATCTCAACGGTGTATCAATCTTGACATAGACAGGTCGCTTTTCAACGCTGCCGAAAGAACTTCCCATGAAGCTATAGTTCCACACATTATCTTCAGGGACCAGGAAGTATCCACGAATCTTGTCGCTGAGCAACAGTTGGCATTTCTGACCCATGCTGGTCGAGAACCCTTGTGGTTGGTCAGATGTGGTGTCTTTGTTCTCAGCTCCCCACTTGTAACCCTGGGGCGTCAGCCCCCACGCTGCAAGGGAAACAGATCCAGGAGTGAAAGACACTGTCATCGTAACAGTCTTTTTGTCCCACGAGGGGTGAGCATTCATCAAGTGCGCATGCTGAGTCACATCCATAGCAGTCATGTAATGTGGCTCATTGCCGGAGATCGTGTGGATGATACCGAGAGGTTCAAGCCCGTTCAGATAGTCATGCTGTGGCAACTGTTGCGGCAACTGAACATCTCGGGTATTTCCGACCTGCGGAATCATGACGATGGTTCGAATCTCCTTCACTTGGTCGTTATCAGGAGGGGAGCTACCATAGAGATATCCAGCAACCTGCACTCGAAGATCGGCAATAGTGATGAAGCGACGAAGGATGTTCTTGGGCATGATGTAAGTGTACCCTTCCTCTGAAACTTCATCTGACGAAATGTAGATATTATTGGCCCTCGTGCGAAGATTCGATGTCGCAATTGCCCGTGTACGCCATTCGGTTTTCGAAGCAAACGACTGCTGTTCGTACTGAGAAGTGGTCGTGACGATGATTTCTTCACCACGAACATTCTGCGTCTTCGTCGTGACAGCCGTGAGCTGCTTCGCCTCCTCCTGCTGCTTTTCAATTTCCGCGGCCTGCTGCCGCTGCAGTGAAGGTGCACTAATCTCCATACCAAGGATAATGTCTCGAACTTCGCTGCTCGTCAAACTCTGCACGTTCACGTTGTTCTTCTTCCCATAATCGTTCAGAATCAAGTCACGAAGTTGCACTTCAACCTTGATCCAATCCTCGTCCGAGAGCGTAGGCCAGATGTGATGCTCTTGTGTAATCACTGTCTTGTCAGGTCTCAAGATGATCTTCGCCTTGTCGATGTTGACGTGCAGAGCTCGCAGAATAAGAATCAGTCGGGAGAAGGCGGTATACGGAGAGATGGACTTGAGCCATTCATCGTAGAGGTTGAAGAGTACCATTTGTGGTTCGGTTGCCCGCAGAATCATATCAGCCAGCTTCTCGACCTTCATGGCAGCCTGGAACGGCAACTGGAGTTCAGAGGCGCGGATGGAGATGTTGGGGAAGTCGAGCAGATGGACTTCAAGGGGATCCAGAAGACCCTTTCGAGTGACAATGAGCTGCTTCGGCTGTTCTTCCACAGGCAGAGACCGAATGAGTGCTGCAACTTCTTCGGCTGTCTTCCACTTCGCTAATTGGCCAAGACGCTTCTGTCCAGCCCAGACACTAGTGTGAATAATCTTGAGGAACAGTTGACCGGTCCGAGGGTTGAAGATGAAGATGGCACCGTTGATGGGCTTTGTGGTCAAGTTGCCTTCGAAGGTCTTGTGAATGGTGACACGGTAGACATTAGTATCGTCAATGAACAGCTGAATCTGCGGACTGAACAGTTCGGAATAATTCTGAGAGTTGAGGAACTCCTGGTTGCTTTCAGACGCATACAA